GATGGCTACAGCTGGTGGGAGCCGGGTGGCAACTGTCACTTCCAGTGGGCCGGCTCCCCCCGTCTGCTCTGTGCACACTCAGCTTCATGCACTCACCCCCTGGACCCTGAATTTGGGTTTACGACAACTTCTAAAAGGGATGAGGCTGGCCTGGGACACACAGCAATGGGCTAGGGCCACAGCCTGCCCTGGTGCCCGTCCCCAGGAACACGCTCCGGGCAGAGTCTGCACACTCCCCCGGCTGAGCATCGATCATCTTTGCCCAAAATTTTCAGGTCCTGTATCCCTAAAATGGCCTGTCGGAACACCTGAAGGGCTCTGCCAACCACCCATACAGGTGTCAGGAATTCAAAGCCAGAGTCTTGGCTGGCATCCTAGGTGTTGGCATAAATCAGACCTAGGCAGGCCTTGGGCTTTGCAATTCTTACCTCCCCAAATATCCAGAAATAAATGTATATTTGTCATATATCGGGTTTGCTTAAACCAAAGTGCAATAAATTCCGATGATCGCAAGTTTCAGACACAAGAGGGTTAGTCAATCAACAAATGATTGCCGGCCACTCTGTGTGCCAGGAACGGGAGCTACCGAGACGACTCCAGCCCCACCACCCAGACGCAAGCCGGGGCCTCCTTCCAGCTGAGCGGCCCCCTCGCTGCCTGGAACTGCCTGAGGGGCGGCTTATTGTGCTCAGGTGAGACCTGGGCTGGGCACAAACATACACACGGGGGTTCCGTTCTGGATCTGCTGATGGCTCGCTGTGTGACCCTGGGAAAGTCTCTTGCCCTCTCTGGGCCCCAATCTTCTCACCAATAAACTGAAATGACTTTGATCATAGAGGTTTCTGCTCGCCCAAGGGTCCTCTGGGCCTATGAATGATCTAGAATTCCCGAAAAGGGAGTACCAATTGGCAATAGCACCCGCATCGCCCAAGAGAAAGAGGCCTCAGCTATAACCCCCAAGAAGTAAACGCATCCTACGTGCTATCAGATGCCTCAACGCGGCCCAGTCTTCCCTGCAGTGCGCGGGAGACGTCTGCACCTGCCTAAGGGCCACCGTCTCCTCCTTCTGGGCACAGACTTAGCCAAACCAAGGCTCGCCAATCAAGGGGAGGCCCAGAAGGCCAACACCTGCAACCGAACTCAAGCACGCACAGCCGGGGCCCAGGCGTCCCTGGGCGGCACAGGAAGTTCATGCTAGGGCCTCAGGAGCATCGCAAAAACTGCTACTCCAGGGCCGGGGTCCCCAGCGCCCCCGGCCACCTTCCCTGCACCCACGAGGCTCCCAGCTCTGGACAAGTCACCAGAACCTCCCCCCAGCAGAAAGCAAAGGCCACCAAGAGGCCATCCAAGCCGCTAGATTTCTGGCACCTCAGAGCACCCCACACCTGGAAAGGTAGGTTTCTCAAGACACTCTCTCCAGTTAAAAGCAACAAAAATGTCAAAGAAAGTCGACATTGCTCACCACGACCCACAGACCTGTGGCTGGTCTGAGCCCTCCAGCCCACCCACCCTCTCCCCAGAGTTCACTGTCTCCAGCCACACTGGCCTGCACACGCCGAGTCCTTCCCACCACAGGGCCTTTGCACTTGCTATTCCCACTGCCAGGAATGCTCTTCCCCAGAACTTCAGCCTACCGGTTCCTCCATGTCCTTCAGAATTTTCACTGCCAATGTCCCCTCCTTGGGGGGGGACATTCTGAGCACCCACCCTTCTCAAGTACATACTCCTTCCCCCTCCCCACCCATTTTCCCATTTCATAGTCCCAAGGCATTTGTCACTGTCTGACATCATCTCACCCACTGGTTTCCTTGTTTACTTCTGCCCCTCTCAGCCCCCATAGTATGAGCCCCCGGAGGACAGGGACCCCGTCTGTCCTGTCCAGTGCCGTGCCTAGTGCTGCACAACAGCCGAGCGACCGGGCCCCAAACCAGGGAGACCCACGCTCAGACCCTGGCCTTGCGCCCACCAGCGCGGAGCAGAGGCAGGCCGCTCAGCTCGCCGACCTCAGCCCCCACGTCCCACAGAGGAACCCGCAACAGCACGGCCCGCGCGGGGTTCGTGAGGATTAATTGTGAAATCCCAGGGAACGCGTAGACCAGAACCGGCTCCGCTCCGCTTCTCTCTGGGGCTACAGTGTTCAGATTTGGGTCTCGTCCCGGGAAAGTGCGGAGCTACGACCCCGCCTTCCCGCCTCGCCCGGCCGCTACCGAGAAGCGTGCCAGGCTCTTGACCTCCACGAGCCCGGAGACCTCCTGGTGAAGGTCAAAACCCACGCAAAGCCGCACACGCCCGTGCAGGGCTTATCGACATTATCACATAGAAATTACAATTATTCACTCCCTCTCTGTGCTCCCCAAGTACCTCCACTGCCCCATTTAACTATGGCAATTACCGCCGCCGGAAGGCTAGTGACTCGGGCTTCGGAAACAGGACCTCGGGCCGACCCGGGACAGCCAGAGCCACAGCGGGCCAGCACCCCAAGTCCAGACAGCCAGGGGCCCCTGAGCCCTGCAGGTGCCGGGGTATAGCGGGGTGAAGGCGTGTCTGCCGGGTGGAAGGAGGGCCTGTGGGCCCCGAGTGCCGTCCCCCCTGGAAGTCGCTGGGCCTCAGCACCCAAGCCCGAGGTCTTTCCGAAGGATAAAGCTATAGAGGGATGGACAGTCAGACTGCAAAGATGCGCCCCCAATCTTTGCAGGGGGTTCTCCGGAAATCTCTGCCGTGGTGGGACATGACATCGCCTTCCGATGCCTATGAGAGGTTCAGGCACCACGGGGTGGCTTCAGTGTCTACATCACCCGTGATGACAGGTGGCCGTCAGTTGTCCGGGAGCTGCGTCTGTTTAGCATTGTATGCAAAACTTCAAAAACTCAAGTGTCTAAGTCAACGAATGGGGAAGGCATCGGTGGAGGGGAGAGGGAGGTAACTCCAGAACTCCAGGGATGGCTCGCGGCTTGGATCGGCCCACCGTCGACCCGCTCGCAAACAGCTCGCACGGGTCCAGGCCACCTGGGGAAGGGTCCAGCTCCAGGTCCAGAGACACCCGTGGTCAGGGGACAGAAAGTCACGGGGAGGCAGGAGGGAGGTGCCCATACGTTTTCTGCCTGTTTCTAAGACCTGTCCCCTTTCTTGGTCCCAAGGGGACAGAATTTGCTCCAGGATGGAAAGTCCCAATCCTACGTCCAGTTCACACAGCCCAGGAGGTGTATGTCCCGTCTGGGTTTACGTGGCCAATCCCACAGAACACCACACATTGTTCTTCGTCTCCTAGGAGGCACAGAACATTTTGGGGCAATAAACTCTTTAAGATACGTGTCTCGGTGGCAGAAAACCCGGCGAGGCTGCAGCCACTGTTTGTTCTGCAGAGCCCAGGGTGTCTCTCCTCGTCCCCTCCATGTCCACCGTGTCAGGTATCGGCTCAGGTGGTTCATCCTTCCCTTCTCTTCCCATCCCAACGGGGGTCGGGGACGTGGCCGGCACCCTGGCAGCACCTCCACCTGAGGAGGCACGGAGCGTAGAATGTGCTAGAACATGCTGGTGCTCTCGCTCTGCCCTGGGGAAAGCCAGCCTTGCCCACCTCCCCTACCCGGGGCCTCGGCGCCGATGCCGCGCTGGGCCTCGAGAAGCCGTGAGCATCCAGGCGGCAGAAGCCCCACCACCAACGTAGCAGCTAAATATTGTAAGACTCCTAACTCCCCCATCTGTGTTTTGCCTCCCAAGAGGGAAAATAGTCTTCGCAGACGTTCCCTTATCTGGCAGGCGGATTCTAAACCTTACTGGCAACCGCAGGCTTGTTTTCCCAACCAAACAGCTACGGAACCAAAAACTGCTCCTGCCTGCGATATGCTCGGAGGGAACTAGCCAAACAGCTCAGTCTGCAAGCCGCGGGCCCGGGAGCGCATGGGCTGTTCCCCACGGCTGGAGGGGGCCCGGGGCTCTGGGGGAGTCACCGGAGCCAGGGGAGGCCCGTCCGCTGGCGGGAGCTGCCGTGGCTGGTGTGCGTTCGCTGCTCCTTTTCTTAACACGGAAGACACCCGCCACAAAGCTGACGGAAAACACTCACCGCGGTGCGAAATCAACACTTTCTAACTCAGACACAGGGCGTAAAAAAAAAAAAGGAGAACTTCCAACCCGTTCGCTACAGATATTTTTCGCCGACAAGATGGCGCAACGCGGTAGCTCCGCCGCTCTCCCGGCCCCAGCCACCCGGCGTACCTCGGCGCCCCCGACCCTCGCGTTCCAATGTCTGGCGTTTCCGGAACTCCCCTGCGTTTCCCCCTCTTCCTTCCCCTTCCCAACCCGGAACCCCGGGCCTGTGCGATCATTAACAGACCAATATCCAACGGTGCCCACAAAGGCCTAATTGATAAGGGCCTCCATCGACTGTCCTTGCTTCTGTCTGAGGTTCTCAACAGTCAAGATTTAAATGTTTCGTTTTATTTTTAACTTTCACATTTCCACATTTCAGCAATGTCAGGCAAAGAGGTATGGTTTTACTATCAGAAAGAATCATGGTGCGGAATAATTTATGACTTCAGCTTGGGCTTTCAGAAAAGCCATTTCAAATCTTCACTTTGATTTGGTTGTATCAAAACTACTCAAAATAACAGCAGCACTTTCTTGGAACCAGAATATGTTAGCGGCACCTCAGGATTTTGAACCGAAGCCTCGTGTTTTTTCTTTTTTTTTATCCCAGAAGAAAACTTCAGAAAGGAATTAAGCCACGGAGGGGAAAATAACATTTTTTTCATGACCTCTTTGTTCCTCCTTCCCCACCCATCCCCAAACACACCCAAACCACAAAGGAATGCCTCCCCCACAGGGAAAGAGCCGTGGCGTCGCCCAGAGCTTACTGGGCAGGTCCGGTGATCCCACCTGGGTCAGGGCCGGGCCGGGGAGGACGGCCCTGGCTGGGGGCAGAGAGGGGCAGTTTGGTTCGAATTTGTGTTAGGTCAACGCAACAAAGCAGGGCGAAGCAAGAGTTCTGGTATCGTGGGACTTAC